AAGAGATCTTAAAAGAAAGGAGTTGTTGAGTGATTGATGGAAGGGGAGAGAGTAAGAAGGATTTAGAGATAAGAGGGCCCTAAAGTGGTGGGGACAAAGAACTGCTGCTGAATAGAACCGGGGAGGGAGCAGCTGTGTCAGACGGGACTGGTGACGAGCCTGTGGAGGGTTCCACAGAGCAGGGGAGATAGAGTGGTACAGGGGCCAACTTTAGAGCAGGAGAGGATGAAGGGGAGAGTGGGTGGGGGGAGATGCCCCAGATGGAATTGTGGAATTCATTTTAGTTTATCCAGTGTAAGGGGACCCTTCAGAAGGTGACCTGAAACTGAGGAGAGAGGACCTGGAGGTGGGCTGGCCAGGGCGCTCAGCTCCAACCCACTCTTGCACTCAATCCCCTCTCTTTTGTTTCCTTCTGAGGCCGACTTGTTGGGAAATGGTTGGTTCTTCATGCTTCTTCATGGAGATCATGACTGCCTTGCAGAGCATAGCAAGGGAGGGAGGCCCAGGAGTCAGAACCAAAGGAAGGAGTAATCATTTGCCTCTCATTCCTTTCTGGGTCCTCTGCTTATCAACACCGCGGAGAGTCTAGGGGATGGAGGGCTGCCTTCCCACCCCTCAAGGTCCCTCTGGGCAAGGGGACAGCTGTGCTGTGGGAGATGCAGAAAACAGGTCCTAGTTTCCATTTAGGGCAATCACTGCTCCATCCTTCCTCCAGAAGGATTCCATGAGGGCCAGAAACAGGGAAGGCAAATAATCCCAAGTCCTGGTTGTCCTAGAACCTTTGGGTCTTCCTTGACCCCAGCCTGCCTAAGGTAGGTTAAAAAACCTGAGCTAGTATCTCCCAAACTGAAATTGGCTTCCTTTTCCCAGTTGGTCCAGGCACAATGCCCAGCGTATTTAAGACAATCACAAGAGCTGTGGTCCAGGAGTTGGATGCTGGAGGCGATATGATTGAAGTCAGAAGCGTCCTTGATGCTGACAAGTTTCATTGTTTCTGTCTGGTGATGGGGATGAATACATGCCTTTGCTACAGAACAGACCTCACCCTGGAGGACATACTGGAGAGTGACGAGGGTGAAGGGCAGTGTGATGAGCTGGATTCTGGGCTTCCCGGTCATTATGAGGTACAGGAGAGATGACCAGCCAGGACACTTTGCTCCCTCCTACTGTGCCCCACCCTCAACTCCCCACTGCCAGCAACCAAGTCAACCAGCCAACAAAGACACTGTAGAATTTGTATGAACACATCCACACACCTCAGCCTAAGAAATGCACAGAAGAGCTGTATGCGAGATGGGAATGGAGAAGTGGAAATTTTTTATTTTATTTTATTTTATTTTTTAATATATTTTATTGATTTTTTTTACAGAAAGGAAGGGAGAGGGAGAGAGAGAGAAACATCAACGATGAGAGAGAATCATTGATTGGCTGCCTCCTGTACGCCCCACACTGGGGCTCAGGCCCACAACCCGGGCATGTGCCCTGACTGGGAATCGAACCCTGACTACCTAGTGCAGTGATGGCGAACCTATGACACGCGTGTCAGAGGTCACACGTGAACTCATTTTTTTGGTTGATTTTTCTTTGTTAAATGGCATTTAAATATATAAAATAAATATCAAAAATATAAGCCTTTGGTTTCTATGGTTGCAAATATCAAAAAATTTCTATATGTGACATGGCACCAGAGTTAAGTTAGGATTTTTCAAAATGCTGACACGCCCAGCTCAAAAGGTTCGCCATCACTGATCTAGTGCATAGGTAGACGCTCAACCACTGAGCCACACCGGTCGGGCAGAAACTTATTTTTCTTGGAAACTATTCATAAATAGTCTTTCTTTCCCAGTTTTCTCTTTGTAAATAATTTGTTTTAAAATTAGCTGATGTCTTCTCATGTGCTTATATGTTTATCACTTAAGTGGGTACATAAATGGAGGTCATTTGCTTAGTGGTTAAGAAAACATGCAGGCTTCAGAGCTGGGGACATGTGGTTTCTAAGCCTGGCTCCACCACTTACCAGCTGGGTGACCTCTGAACAAGTTTGTTTTCTCATCTGTCAACTTGAGCAAGACTGTTGCAAAAATCCAATGAGATAAATTACGTAAATCATTTATCACAGTGCCTGCACAGAGGAACACTCAAAGTTCACCAAGTCGTTCTGCTGTGGCGGTCATGATTCTCCCTTCGTGTTCCCCGGAGATCATGACTAAGTAGCTGGTGAGCAGAACTCACCAAGGGCTGGAGGGGGCTCCTAGAGGAGTATGTTCCACCCCCTGCCTCCACACTTAGCTCTTCTTGGGGTTTTCTGGATTTGAGAAGCCCCAGGGTAAGTGTTGTTGAACCCTCACTTGAAGACATGACAGTGTCTCACACCTCACGGAGAGGAGTTTTACAGCTCAGACGACTCCAATGTCGCCCATCTGGGTGTCATCCCGAGATGGCAGACAATTCTGACCGTCCCACTGTACAGTTTTAGAGCACCTGCCATGCCAGGCACTGCTGTCATGTGACCCAGAATAGTGTCCAGATTACTTGGAGGCGGCGGCTGTTTTCATATTGTAGTTTACTAAAGCAGCCAAGGTGTTTTGCCACGATCATAAAAATTTGACTAAGTCAGTTTAACTTCCTTAAAGGGAAAGTCTATCTGTTTGCATAAAACTTTCAGAGGCAGAGGTGAAACCAAACTTTAACAAAAATCCATAGGAATGAAGTGAATTGGTCATTTGAATTGATTTTTAGCAACTTGGCCTGCTCTCTTTTCAGGTGGGTTATTTTATTTTTTAACTACATGTTGCCCATGGTGTTGTTAAAGCATGCATAGGGGTTGTTTGTTTGTTTTTATTATCTAAAGTCCATACTTCATTGAGATTATCTTAATTTACCTAATATCCCTTTCCTGTTCCAGGACCCCATCCAAGATACCACATTACCTTTAGTTGTCATATCTCCTTAGGCTCCTTTTGGCTGTGACAGTGTCTCAGACTTTCCTTGTTTTTGATGATCTTGACAGTTTTAAGGGCATATTACAGGATGCCTCTCGATTCGAATTTGTCTGATGCCTTTTTCTCGTGGTTAGACTGAGATAATAATGGGTTTTGGGAAGGAAGACCATAGAGGTAGAGCTATTCTCCTTACACTATATCAAGGGTATGGACTATCACATTGACTTTCACTATTGATGTTTACCTTGGTCACCTGGCTGAGGTAGTGTTCATCATGTCTCCCCTATAAAATTAGTCTTTTATCCCCCTTTCTATGCTGTACTCTTTGTGTGCATAAGGCTTTTTCTTTTCTCTCTGATAAAGTATATGCAAACTGTTACATTGCTCAAGAAACAAACGGGTTCTGAGACACATACAGGACTGATTCCAGACACTATTTCCACTTCTGTCATATCTCACCAGTTCCAAAATGCGTTTTTCTCTGGAGATTCAGAGATCAGTGTGACCTCTATCCTTCTCTTTCCAGGCTCAAAGGCTGCGTTCCAAGCTGTGGATGTGGTAGACTCAACAGGGGAGTCCACAGTGAAATTGCTCAGGGGAATTACAATCGAAGGGGCCTTCCAAGAGTCCCACAAGCATGACATCACGATGTTGTGGTCCAGGATATCCAGCCATATCTGGATTCCTTCCAGGACAGGTGAAGCTGGAGGTAGGCAGCAGTGGGGAGAAGGAAAAGGAGAAGCCCCTAGGGCATCTGAGTGGGGGCAGCCTCACTCCCACCCACTCCTTTACTCAAGCATGCCGTACTCTTCTCCACCTTCAGGAAGCTGTCTCATTCTCCCAGGATCAGGAAATCTTCTTCTGATGCCCTCAATTCACTCACATCCCTGCTGCCCTCCAGGGTGACTGATTTCTCTGGCTTGAACCAAAACGTACTGGTTTCAAGAGGCCGCTCTCCTCTGTTTTCTTATACTGAGTTGCCCAAATCTGTATTTTGTGCTTATTTCAGTCGCTGGGTTTATCGCCAGCACTCAGTAAGAGAGCTGGAGGGAAGCACAGTGAAATTAAAGCACCCCTGTGGGACATTTTCTGCACAGAAAGTCCCACCATCCCACCCCACCCGGGTGGCTCCAAGTGCCACAGAGTCTGATAGCTGAGGTGCTTCCAAGGGACTTCAGGACATCACCAGCCGTCCCCTGAGCAGTTGTTTTGGTGCTGGTGGTGGAGCTTTCTTCCTCTGCTGGACTTGTTGGAAACTGTGGAGCAGCTCAGGAAAGGGGGCCCCATGGCTCTCCTGGGTGAGCCCTCCCTGAATGGATGGATGCCTTTGTTTTTCCTTTTTAATTAAAAAGTGAAAGGCTTACAGTGAAATTTTTCTGATCCTTGGAACTACCTCTCCTCACCATAGTACTGTTAAGGAGGAGTCTTTGGAATTTTTCTAAGGGAGCTCAGTTTTTTTCTAGAAGGCCTGTTTTCTGTTTTTTAAAAATATATTTTTTATTGATTTCAGAGAGGAAAGGATAAAAACATTCTCAGAGAGAGAGATAAAAACATTCATGATGAGAGAAAATCATTGATTGTCTGCCTCCTGCACGCCCCACACTGGGGGATCAAGCCTGCAATCCAGGCATGTGCCCCTACCAGGAATTGAACCATGACTTCCTGGTTTAAAAGTTACAGGTTCAGTCCTGGCAAGGCCTTGCTAGCTCGAAGGAGTGAATCTCTGTCATTCTTATGTGCCGGAACAGAAAAGTCAGGAGATAGATCCCAGGCCCTGCTCTGACACGTTTGCTGAGTACTGGCAGGATGCTACACCTTCTCTGGGCTTGTTTCTTTTTCAATCATCTATGCATAGTCCTCTGGCTGCCTATCTCTGAGGATGTGGAAATGGGTCTGCAAATATAGTGCTTGTCATTTACACACACGGAGGAGGACACGGGCTCCCTGGCATGGGCAGTGAGGGCCCAGAGTCCAGGAATGAAAACTTTCATCACTGGGAAGAGAATATCAACAGGGGGCTGGAGGTGACCTCAATACTCTCTGAGATGACTTTTCCTTTCTTTGCAGAGGAAGATGGTGGTTCATCTTGTTTAGGTAAGGATGGGAGCCAGCTATGTTCAGGGTGGCTGCACCCTTCACCCTTGAGCCCGCTGGCCTCAGGACTGGAGCTCATGTGGGGTGGCTGAGTATGTATGTGTGTGGGTTGGGGTGCGGGGAGCTTGAGGGGAGAAAGGTAGGTCAGGGCCCAAAGCAGGTTTTAGCATTAGTCTGGGGGTGGCATCTGTCTCCTCTAAACAAACACATTCGTTATGCATAGACATCACCTAAGGGAACTTTAAAAGTAGTGTTGCCCAAGTGCCACCTCCAGAAATTCTGATTTAATTAATCTGGGGGTATGGCCTGGGCATCAGGATTTTTAAAATCACTTCCCAGGTGATTCTCATGTACAGTCAAGGCTAAGAACCACTGCTCTAACTTCCTCTAAATCCTCACTACTCTTAGTGTGATCTAAAGGCGTCACTTTGAAAGGCAAGGACTCAATAAGCTTTGATTTCCGGGAGGTGGAGAAGAATTTTGGGTTGGTACTAGACTGGGGGTGAGCTAGGGAGATGGAAGTGGAGTCAGCGGGCAGCAATGATGGTGGGTGTTTGAGAAGAAAGGTGCTTCATTTTAACAGGAAAAGATTAGAGGAAGATACAGAAGTGTTCTCCAGAAGAAACATAGACGAAGAGTAGAGTCTTGGTAATGGAGCTTGTTGGGCTGGGTAGGTTGGGTTAAGAACCTACCTCTATAGGAAAGTCTTTGAACTTGGAGGATTTAGAAACATGAAGGAGAAGGTGCAGGACACAGTGAGTGGTCTCCGGGATCTGACTGAAGAGGAGCGGGAAGATGTGCTAAGCTACCTCACTCAGTGCCTCACCACAGATGAGGAGCTGAAGGATCTAGATGAAAAAGTAAGAGACCCAAGAAAGAACTTGGGCAGCGAGAGGGAGAGGCTAGGTGGAGGGCAGCGGACACCCTGCAGACAATCTGCTTTAGTGGGACTTGTGCTCATCTCCCATCTCCTGGCCATAGGTGTCTAAAGTCCTGACCTCCGGTGAGCTGCAGACGGAGGGCCCAGCAGGTCCTCTCCTAAGTAGCCTTTTTAATGCTGCTGGCATCTTGGTTGAGGCACGCGTAGAAGCCATTCCGGAGTTCCTGGAAGCCTTGAAGGGTGAGGAGGAGTCTGGATGGATGCTGATGTGGAGGACATGCTGAGCAGAGGGGTCTTTGGGGAACCAAATCTTGGGAGGAGAGTGTTAACACTGCCTTTACCTCTTGTGAGGAATAAACCATCACATTTCAGGAACTGGCCATTTCCCCAGACCAGGGGTTGGGGGACTGCTCCCTCTTCCCCCTTGGCACAGTCTCTGACCTCCTGGAGGCTAAGAGGAAACAGGAGCCCAGCAGGAGCCCATTTGGAAATACTCCCATCTCGCACTCCCAGGAGCTCTCTGGAACCTCTTCTCATGCTTGTCTTGGGTCTGATCAGACACTGAAGCCCTGTCCCACTGTGTGCCTCTCCCTCTTTTTTACCCTCAGAGCTGTCAGAGGAGAAGGAGCTTATGGCTGAGACCCTGAAGAAGGGGACCCTGCCCCTGATGAAGGACCGGGTAAGAGAGTCTGGGCTGAGGGCCAGGCCTTAGTAGAAGTGAATGCCCATGCTTTCAAGGGACCCAGAAGTCCCAGGATTCTGTTCTTCCCGACTTTGTAGTTTTTTGTCAGCTCATGTCCATGAAGCTGGTATGTGGCCTATAGTTTCTGGGACAATTAGGAATGTGCAAGAGAGGGGGGCGGGGTGTAACTGTTAGTCCCAGGAGGCAGTTGGTACCATCTTAAGTGCCAAACTGATTGGTTAGCAGTACCTGTCACTATGCTTAGAGTAGCAGGCTCTCCAGGCCCGCAGGAAAGAGGGCCCTGCTGGATGACTGTGTCTGCCGTGGGCTCAGGGTTCAGGAGTGTGGGTGGCCAAGTATTAGCCAGTGCTGGTATATTTCTATGTTTCTAGTTTTACAGTCTGGTGGGTTTCCTTCCAGGTGGAGTCTCTCCTGGAGCAGAACTGGGGTGAGCAGCCCTGGGATGTGGGCTGTGCCCTTGAGACTCTATGCGCTCTATGTTGCTGTCTCCATCCTGCTGCAGCTGAGTGAGAAGCCTGCCTCTGTGCTTCCTGTTAGCTCTTTTTTTTTTTCCAATCCTCAGCCGAGAATATTTTTTCCATTACTCTCTAGAGAGAGTGGAAGGGAGAGAGTAGGTGAGGAGAGAGAGAGAAACATCAACGTGAGAGACACCTTGATTGATTGCCTCCCGCATGTGCCCCTAAGGGGACTGGGGATCCTGCAACCAAGGTATATGCCCTTGATCAGGAATCGAACCCGAGACCCTTTGGTCTGCAGGCTGATGCTGTAACCATTGAGTGAACTTAGCTTTTTAACCATTCTCCCCACACACCTCTGGGTGCTCCCCTCCCAGTCCATCCTCACCCCCACACCTTCCCCAAGTCACCAGAATGAGGTCTTTAGAACAAGCGCCTGGCTCTTCTTCGATACATCCCATTCCCCACATGATAATGTACAAAACCAGACTGGATTGTATGCATAGAATTCTGATTAAAAGTGGAAGATTGATCATATTTATTTCCTCTCCTTCTTGAAACTTCACTTAATGACAGTGAAGCAATAGAAAAGACATAAACCCACAAGAGTAAAAGGAGTGAGGCAGCAGGTAAGGGATTTCAACACATCTTTGGAAGCCGGAAAGTCATTAAAGGAGTGCAAGCCGGGAGGTGCCGGGCTGAGGGGTGCCTTTTAGTTCTATTTAATATTTTTTAGGACAATGTAATTAAAAGTAAAAGACATATGCTTGTTATAAAGGATTTCAAATATTTCTCAAAGTCAAAGTTGATCCTCTTTTCCATCTAATATACAACCACTATTCACATTTTGGGGTATGTTAACATTTTTCCTGTGCAACAGCTTTTAAAATGGTAATTTAAACATGAAGCTAGCCCTAGCCCAGCCGTGGGCAAACTATGGCCCGTGGGCCAGATCCGGCCCGTTTGAAATGAATAAAACTAAAAAAAAAAAAAAGACCGTACCCTTTTATGTAATGATGTTTACTTTGAATTTATATTAGTTCACACAAACACTCCATCCATGCTTTTGTTCCGGCCCTCCGGTCCAGTTTAAGAACCTATTGTGGCCCTGGAGTCAAAAAGTTTGCCTACCCCTGCTAGCTGGATTGGCTCCGTGGATACAGCGTCAGCCTGCAGACGGAAAGGTCTCGGGTTTGATTCTGGTCAAGGGCACATGCCTAGGTTGTGGACTTGATGCCCAGTTAGGAGGCGTGCAGGAGGCAGCTGATCAATGATTCTCTCTCATCATTGATGTTTCTATCTCTCCCTCTCCCTTCCTCTCTGAAATCCATAAAAATATATTTAAAAAATAAATTAAAAAAATAAACATGAAGCTAGGGTGATATAACATAGATTTATTTTGTATCTTTTGAACTAGAGTTATTTTTTCTTTTAAGTTTGTAAAAATATTATATGCAACAGGAATTCTCCTAAGTGCTATTGGGAGTATATATCGGTCAACCACTTTGGAAGACTAACAGTATCTACCAAAACTAAACATATGCCTATGACCCAGCAACTCCACTTCCAAGGCATATACCCAAGAGAAATGAGTGTGCATATTCACAAAAAGACACGCATATACAAAAACGTTAATATAAGAGGCAAGCTAAAAACTCTTCAAATGTCCAATAACATTAGGATGGATACATATATTGTGCTATATTTATACAATAAAAAAGAACAAATACATAACAACATAACAACATGGATGACTCTCACAGACATAATGCTGAGCAAATGAAAGAACATTGGTTTTTTAAATTTATTGATTTTAGAGAAAGGAAGAGAGAGAGAGAGAGAGAGAGAGAGAGAGAGAGAGAGAGAAACATCCATTTGTACTTCCACTTATTTATGCATTCATTGGTTGTTTCTTGTATGTGCTCTGACCTGGGATCGAACCCACAACCTTGGCTTATCAGGACAATGCTTTAACCAACTGAGCTAGGCCAGGGCAAAACACTCAAAAAGCATGTACTTACTGACAAGATATAGAAGCTCAAGCCAAAATATAAGTGAAAAGGAGACCCAGGAGATAAATGAAGTATCAGAACACTAATACAATTTTACCCCAGGTAAAGGGGGTTGAGATCTGCAAATCTGAGTAAGTTGGGGCTTCAGTTTGGCCAGCCTTGTGGTCCAGAAGTCAAGGCCAAGGACCCATCCAAGATGGGGAGTCTAATAAAAGGAGACATTCTCCATATTAAACTGGAATCTCATTAAGGTAAGGGTGAACCATCAGTAAACCCACAGCCCTGGCCTCACCTGCAGGAAACTGTGGGGAAGACTTTTGGGATTGAGTGAAGAAGAGGTTTATAAAAAAGACAAAAGTTCTGAAATATTGTGGCCGTAGGCTAGTCTTTTCACAGAACTTAGCCTGCATTTTCATCATCTGGGTGTTTCAGAGTATCTCAAATTGCAGACTTAGTTTATGAGGGAACAGGATCGGTGGTGTACCCAGATACCTGTCAGAACTAAACACAAATCTTTTCTGGAGGAAGTTATTTTCATTTCCACAGAAAACATTTAAAGGACAAGAGTGGTTCCCAGTAAAAAATAACAAAGCATACAAGGAAATGACACTATGAACAAGAATAAGCAGAAACAAGAAACAGCTCAGACATAGATTCTCATGCATAAACAGACACTTGATATATGGGAGCAGTATCATTACAGATTAGTGGGGAAAGTCTAGACATTTCCTTACTTTATTTTTTTTACTAGCATTGCAGGAAATGTCAAAGGGAGCGCTTTAAGAAGAAGAAATTGAGAGAGAGGGGAACATATGTCAAGGCTAGACTTTTCAATGAATGGTCCAGGACAATTGGGTAACCACGTAGAGAAAAAATGAAATTTGATTCTTACCACCCAGCATATCTAAAAATTCCAGGAATATTTCAGACCTAAATGTGAAAAGCAAAATTATAACTATATTAACATTAAAGACTTTTGTTTAATCAAAGATATAAAGAAGTGCCCTAGCTGGTTTCACTTAGTGGATAGAGCATCAGCCTGCAGACAGAAAAAAAAGAATTTTTTGCTTCTAAATACAAAAATAATATATATGCCTTTATATTGTATAAGTGATTTCAAGCAAATTAATATTTGGAAAGTACAAAGTTTTTTATTGTATTATACTTTGCTACTCTTCTTGACCTTAATATAGTCGTAGGCACAGAGCAACAGATTCAGTTTGTAAACAAAACATTTCATTAAAAATCATCCACTAAATACACATTCCTTTGTACAATGGAGATATTAGATTAAATGCCTTCTTAGAAATGCCATGTCAACTATCTTTTTTTTCTTTTTTAGTTTCTAAAATGTATGTTTTCCAACGTTTTGGTCTCATTGGACTTTCTTAATGGAACTATGATGCTTGGGGATGTGAACGAATCTCATGTCCCCCACTTCCACAAGCAAGGAGCAATGCTTTCACCTCTAGTCTTCATATTGCAATTTTCGTTTGAAGTTTATGGACAAAATTTAGCTCCGTAGGCAAGGATGGAAATGCAAGTGTGACAAGTAACATCAGCAGCAGGACTAAAAGTCCCAGGACTACAAACCACTGCAGAGGAAAACACATGGAGTAGATTATTATAATTTCAAGTAGAGGTGTTTTATACCAATAGTATAAAGCTGCCTTTAATAACACATCATTTCTAAACCTATGATATATTGAGTAATGTTCTGTCAAGTAAGTTATAGAGAATATTTACGAATTTCAAACATTGTAATTTAATGATTTTAAAGGCAGGAGAAAGTTAGAATCCCATCTTTCCCATTAGTATCAGCATTTTATAGTATCTTCTGCAGTGCCCCATGTATGAGTTCCTATACCTAATTCTCTAGTTCCTAATTCCAATTCTGTTTTCTAGGTAGGACCATTCTGTGTTCCTTCACAGTATAGTAGCTTAAGTCAGAACACTATAGAAATGTTCTGTAATATAAAGGAGTATATTAGGAAGAATTAATACAGATGAAGATAATTACATTTAGAAATTTGGTCTTTGAATTTTTACTTTTCTTTGGTTAAATATAACTTTTTTTTGTAAGAGGATTGCTATAAAGATTCAATTCAATTATCCTAAGTGTATTATTAATTTGTTCTTCTGACTAAGTACCCTAAATATTAATATATATATATATAATTTTTATTACATTTATTGGAGTTGGTTAATAAAATTATATAGGTTTCAGGTATACAATTCTATAATACATCATCTGTAGATATTTATTATAATTACCGCAACAGGTAGCACAATTACTGTGTAGACCTTCATTTTTCCCAAAGCCTGGACGACAGCTATCCATACGTGCCATTTGAAAACTGTGGTCCATAAAATGCATAGCTGGTAGAGTTTTATTATAGCCATGGTAGAAAATAAATGCTTGGCTTCGGAAAAATTCTTCTATTCGATCTCTTGCCTATATTTTAAAATAGCAATGAGAAATACAATGACTAAACTGTGAAGCAATTTCTCCTCCTGCATCAGAGGCAATGAAACGTACTATCAGCACACTCACGCCATCCATGTTTTACACAAAAGATGAATTCCTGAAAAGTTATGTTAATACTAAAATTAGCCTTGACCTTATCAACTATTATCAAATTCATATGTAAACTGGTTAAGAAAAATTAACTTGAGATTAATAAACACTTATTTTGAATTATTTGCAGCATGTCTATTCCATTTTTAGATAATATTTATTATTTCTAATTCCAAAGAACCAAGTAAAATGGAAACTAAACGTTTTCTCTAATCAGCATTATAAACTAATGAATAAATTTTATTTTATTTTTTTAAGCATAGAGTTTAATAAGGACTAATATAAACTCAGTGCTTCCCATAACCCATGCACAATATAAAGGTTATGGGCTCAGGAACTAGACCAGGAGTGTGAAGGGATTTTTTTAGACTATGTCTTTAGCCTCTGAGGATGGCCGAGGAGACAGCTACTATTATGATCACTAGAGGCCCGGTGCACGAATTCGTGCACAGGTGAGGTCCCTCAGCCTGGCCAGATCAGGGCCAATCGGGCCGGCTGGCCAGGGGAAGGGACCACAAGACGTTGGCCAGCCATGGGAGGTTGGCTGTGGGAGTGCACTGACTACCAGGGGGCAGCTCCTGCATTGAATGTCTGCTCCCTGGTGGTAAGTGTGCATCATAGCTACTGGCCAGTCATCTGGTCGTCTGGATATCCGGTCCTAATGGTCACTTAGGCTTTTGTATACAGTGGGGCCTTGACTTACAAGTTTAATTCGTTCCGTGACAGAGCTCGTAA